AGTGACAGAAAACTTTCCTAACTTGGTGAAGGAAGAAGGCATTCCAGTTCAAGAAGCACAGAGAGCCCCAAGTAAGAACCCAAACAGGCCCACACCAAGACACATAGTAATTAAAATGCCAAAACTTAAACACAAAGAGAGAATCCTAAAGGCAGCAAGAGATAAGCAACGGGTTACCTACAAAGAAAACCCCATAAGGCTCTTAGCTGACTTCTCAACAAAAACACTACAGGCCAGAAAGGAGTGGCATGAGGTAATAAAGGTTATAAAAAACAAGGATCTGAATCCAAGACTACTCTATTCAGCAAGGCTACCATTCAGAATAGAAGGTCAAATAAAGAGCTTTCCAGACAAAAAAAGGCTAAGGGAATATATTAACACCAAACTAGTACTGCAAGATATGCTAAAAGGACTGCTGTAATTAATAGAAGAAATAGAAAGAAAAATAGAACCACACTAAACAAAAATGGCAATAAATAAGTACATATCAATTATCACCTTAAATGTAAGTGGTTTGAATGTTCTGATAAAAAGACAAAGAGTAGCTGACTAGATAAGAAAGCATGACTCACATAAATGTTGTTCACAAGAAACCCACCTCACAACAAAAGACCCATATAAGTTGAAAGTGAAGGGATGAAAAAAAATCTTTCAAGCAAAAAAAATCTGGGGTAGAAATACTCATATCTGATAAAATAGATTTCAAAATGAAGGCAATAACTAGAGACAAAGAAGGCCACTACATAATATTGAAAAAATCTATCCAACAGGCAGATATAACCTTGGTAAACATATATGCACGCAATGTAGGAGCACCAACATATATTAAAAATCTTTTGGAGGCCTTCAAAGGAGAAATCAATAGCAATACAATCATAGCAGGGGACTTCAATACCCCGCTGACAACACTGGATAGATCTTCTATACAAAAAATTAACAAAGAAACAGACTCTAAATGAAGCACTAGATCAAATGGATTTACACTCCAAAATCGCAGAATTCACATTCTTCTCAAGTGCACATGGGACATTCTAAAAGACAGACCACATGTTAGGAAACAAACTAAGTCTCTGCAAGTCCAAGAAGACTGAAATCATATCAAGCATCTTCTCAGATCACAATGGCATGAGACTAGAAATCAACCGTAACAAGAACATGCAAAGGGATTTGAAAACATGGAGGCTAAATAGCACATTATTGAACAATGGAGATCAAGGAAGAAATTAAAACTTCCTGGAAACCAATGAAAATGAACATACAACAACACAAAATCTATGGGATGCAGCGAAAGCAGTTCTGAGATGGAGGTTAATAGCACTACAGGCCTACATCAAGAAACAAGAAAAATATCTAGTAGACTATCTAACCACACAACTTAAAAACCAGAAAGAAAACTCCAGAGCAAGTAGAAGAAAGGAAATAGTAAAGATCAGATAAGAAATAAATGACATGGAGACCAAAAAAACAATCCAATGGATAAATGAAACAAAGAACTGGTTCTTTGAAAAGATAAACAAGATTAATGGACCCTCAGGTAGACTCACCAAGAAACAGAGACAACCCAAAAACACAAAATCAGAAATGAAAGAGGAGAAATAATAACTGACACCAGAGAAATACAAAGGATCGTTAACAAATATTATAAACAATTATATGGCACAAATTCGACAATCTAAGCGAAACGGACAAATGTCTAGAAACACATAGACTCCCAAAACTGAACTGGGAAGACTTGAACAGACCAATAACAATAAAATAATTGAAGATGTAATCAAGACTCTCTCACCAAACAAAAGCCTTGGCCCGGATGGCTTTACAGGGGAATTTTACCAAACATTCAAAGAACTAAAACCCATTCTCCTTGGACTATTTCAAAAAATTCAAGAGGAACAAAGACTTCCAAACTCGTTTTAGGAGGCCAGCATAATCCTAATTCAAAAAGCCAAAAAGAGACACTACAAGAAAAGAAAACTACAGGCCAATATCCCTAATGAACATAGATGCCAAAATCCTGAACAAAATACTACCAAATCGGATCCAGCAATGCATCAAAAAAATTATTCACCATGACCATGTGGAATTCATCCCAGGGATGGAAGGCTGGTACAATATTCGCAAATCAATAAATGTGATACACCACATAAACAGAATGAAAGATAAAAATCATATGATCCTAGCAATAGACGCTGAAAAAACATTTGCCAATATCCAGCACCCATTTCTGATAAAAACACTCAGCAATCTGGGAATAGAGGGAACATATTTTGACATAACAAAGGCCATATATGAAAGACCTACCACCAACATCAAACTCAATGGGCAAAAATTAAAAGCATTTCTCTGAAGAACACGAACAAGGCAAGGATGTCCACTTTCACCACTCTTATTTAACATAGTACTGGAAGTCTTAACCACATCAATCAGACATGAAGAAAAAATAAAAGGGATCCAAATTGGAAAGGAGGAAGTGAAACTGTCATTATTCAGATGACATGATACTATACGTAGAAAACCCTAAAGGCTCCATCAAAAATTTACTAGACTTAATAAATGAATTTGGCAAAGTAGCAGGATACAAAATTAAAGTCAAGAAAACGATGGCATTCCTACATACCAATGATGAACTCACAGAAAGAGAAACTATAAAAACACAATCCCATTTACCATTGTGGCAAAAAAAATTAAGATAGATACCTAGGAATAAACTTAACCAAAGAAGTAAAAGATCTTTTCACAGAAAATTACAGGTCATTGAAAAAAGAGCCCTGGCCAGTTTGGCTCAGCGGTTAGAGCATCAGCCTGTACTTCAGAGAGACCTGGGTTCGGTTCCCACTAAGGGCGTGTACCTCAGTTGCAGTTAGTCCCCAACCCTGGTTGGTCATGCTGGTGGCAGTGACTTGATGTGTCCCTTTCATGTAAATGTTTCTCTCTCTGTCTTCCTCTCTCTCCCTCCCAGTCTATCTGAACAAAAAAAATAGAAAAATGTCCTTGTGTGAGGATAAAAAAAGAAAAAAGAAAAGAAATAGAGGAAGATATAAAAAAGTGGAAGCACATACCTTGTTCATGGATTTAAAGAATCAACATCATTAAAATGTCCATACTACCCAAAACAATCCATAGAGTCAATGCAATCCCCATCAAAATACCAATGACATACTTCACAGAACTAGAACAAATACTTCAAAAGTTCATATGAAACCAAAAAAGACCCCCAATAGCCACAGCAATCTTGAAAAAGAAGAACAAAGTTGGAGGGATCACATTACCAGATTTCAGGTTATACTACAAAGCCACTGTAATCAAAACAGCCTGGTAGTGGCACAAGAACAGGCATATGGACTAGTGGAACAGAATAAAGAACCCAGAAATGGACCCAAGGCAATATGCTTAATTAATAGTTGACAAAGGAGGCAAGAGCATACAGTGGAGTAAAGACAGCCTCTTTAATAAATGGGGTTGAGAAAATTGGACAGCTACTTGCAAAAAAATGAAACTATACCATCAACTTACACCATACACAAGAATAAACTCAAAATGGATAAAAGACTTAAATGTGACTCATGAATCCATAAAAATCCTAGAAGAAACTGTAGGCAACAGAATTTTAGATATCATACGCAGCAGAGTTTTCACTGATACATTACCTAAGGCAACAGAAACAAGCAGAAAATGAACACATGGGACTACTTCAAACTCAAAAGCTTCTGCACAGCAAAAGATACAATCATTAAAATGGAAAGGCAACCCACTGTATGGGAGAGCATAACTGCCAATGATATATCAGATAAGGGGTTAATTTCCAACATATATAGAGTGTTCATACAACTCAACAAAAGGAACACAAAGAACCCAATTAAAAAATAGGCAGAGGAACTAAATAGACACCTCTCCAAACAGGACATACAAATGGCTTAGAGACATATGAAGAAATGCTCAACATTATTAATCATCAGAGAGATGCAGATTTAAACAACAATAATGTATCACCTCACACCTGTCAGAATGGCCACCATCAACAAATCATCAAACAACAAGTGTTCGCGAGGGTGTGGAGACAAGGGGACTCTAGTGCACTGCTGGTGGGAATGCAGACTGGTGCATCCACTATGAAAAACAATGTGGTGTTACCTCAAAAAATTAAAAATTGAACTGCTATTTGACCCAGTGATCCCACTTCTAGGAATATACCCTAAGAAGCCTGAAACACCAATCAGAAAGACTATATGTACCCCCATGTTCATACCAGCACTATTTGCAAGAGCTAAGATCTGGAAATAGCCCACATGTCCATCAGTAGACAAATGGATAAAAAAGCTGTGGTACATATACACAATGGAGTACTATGCAGCTATAACAAAGAAAGATCTTTTATCATTTGAGATGACATGGAAGGACCTGGAAAGTATTATCCTAAGCGAAACAAGCCAAACACAGAAAGACAAATATCATATCATCTCACTTATTTGTAGAATATAATGAATATAACAGTCTGAGGAATGGGGTAGTCCCAGAAACGTGGAAGTGGGGTACAGACTGACAATCCCCAGAAGGGGGGTGGTGGGGGAGAGATAAACCAAAGAACTTATATGCATGTGTGCATGAACTATGGACATAGACAACGAGGCTGGGGACAGGGCGGGAAGGGGGGGTCGAGGGGGGAATCAGTGGGGGGAAAAAGGAGAAACATCTGTAATAAAAATAAATTAATTAATAAAAATAAGTTTAAAAAATTCATGTATTAACAAAATGTATCATCAATTATAAAAGCTACTAAAATTTTGATAATCCAACAGTCCATTTTGAAGACTTCGTTTTACCCAGATTTAGAAAATAGGAGCAGCTGTGTCTCTTACCAAGTCCACAGTGGGTTCCAATGGTTATTAAGTGGGTCACATTGAACAAGGCATGCATGTAGACTGATCCTGCTGCAGCAGAGCTCCTGAGGTACCAGCTGGCTGTGCCACGGCACCAGAACTCTCTTTTCATCATGTTTCACTTACAGTCCCCACTGCTGGTCTATGTCTGCTCCTCTCTGCACGAGAACTGGGATCGCTTCATGGTGCTTATTGATCACAGCCACGGTAATAACGGGTCGGCCTTCATTATCACTGCAGTTGGGGTCTGCTCCCTGCAGCATATGGAAAAAGACAAACCTGCCACAATCCTGCACTCAACAGCATCTAACAAACACGAACAAACATCCTCAATCGAACAAAATGTTTTAAATCCAAAGAGAAGAGAATCAGGAACCACAAGACACAACATATAACAAATTTGCCATGTCATTCAGGTGATAAAACTTCTGTTTCCACATCAGAAGGGGCAGGCACCACCCAGACACCCTTTCTTCTTTAGGAAACATGAAGGTCATGTGGGGTCTCACAGGCCAGGGATTCTGTCCACCTTCATGCGTGCTATTTGGACTCATGTGCACTTTACTGCCTATTTTCTTTGCTATTAAAACTAACAACAGGTAACAATTAATGTAAAGATTTGGACTCGTAATTTAACCCATTCCCAACATTTAAAAAAATTAAATGGCCCTTGCCCAGCCTATGTGGCTTAGTGGTTGAGTGTCAACCCATGCACCGAGAGGTCACTGGTTCAAGTCCCAGTCAGGGCACATGCCCAGGTTGTGGGCCAAATCCCCAGTAGGGGGTGAGCAGGAGGAGGCCAATCAATGTTCTCTCTCATCGATGTTTCCATTTCTCTCTCTCCTTCTTCCTTCCTCTCTCTCTAAAATAAAGAAAAAAATTTTTTTTATTAAATGGCCCTGTGATAATCACAATATTGAACAAAACTTCCATCTGAGACAATGAAACATAGGCTGAAACTCAGAGAGAGATTTGCACTCTAGTTGCACTTACTTCATCAAGTAACTGTTCAATCACAGAGACTCTTCCTCCTCCTCTCAGTCCGACTTCCTTCAGCAGGAGTATGTTTTCAGGCTGCAGCATTATAGAATGTGGTCATTTCCACTGCCACAAAATATTTTTACTGTTGAGTCCCACTTGCCCAGGCTCAACCCTCAAGGTAAATGTTTCCACTCCAACGTTAAGTTCTGAGCCCCAGGGACAGGTGAGCATGAGAATAATCGTGTGTGTGCGTGCATGTGTGTGTGTGTGTGTGTGTGTGTGTTGTCTTCAACAGCCAGCAACACCGATAACCCCATCTAATATAAATCTTGCTGGTCTTTGAAACATTGCCTTGATGTACACCACACTCACATTGTTTTATACTATTAAGAACAGGGATGCAATGAGAAATATCACCAAAACCCAGAAACACCACACTAGTTTTACTATGAATATTTCTAGGAAAAGCAACCAGGTGAATCATAAAATTTAGTTTGCATGCTGTATTAAACTGTTTAAAGTTAGCCTAAGTATGACAGTTAGAATACATGCTCAACTGAGGTGTGAGTGAACCAATAAGGTCGACCTCTTACTTGGGGGGGAAAAAAACAACTTTCATCTATCATCAGAAATCTGAAAAATTTTATCTTTTATATGTTCAAAATGCAATTAAATGTATCTTTATATCATTTTTCCTTATACACAAAGGGTTGCAAATGCTGGGTACTGGAAAACTAAAGGGAGCAGTCTAGAAAGCAGGAGACATTACTTTTAGTATGTTCCTGCCACTGGATCCCACCCAGGGGTGACTGTGGGGTAGTACCAGGACCGCCATTCCTCTATTTATAAAGTGGAAGTAATACCACTCCTCCCGGGCTCCCTGGAAAGCCATGAGGATGAGTATACTGGCCCAGGCCTCTAAGCCTTTCAGAAAAAGATGCAGGGTTCACCCTGTGTCCTCCCAGTGAGTAGCTTGGAACAAGGTGCTCTAATCAGTTAAACTCCCCCGTCTTTGGGGGACAGTGCAGTTGCTTATACTTAATTCCATTCCTTATGAAAAAAATGTACTAGAATGCACTAGAATGTCAACTTCAGGAGGTCTGAGATCTTTATGTCTTTTGTTTATTTTCAACATCCAGAACTGTACCTGGAATATATGTGCTTAAAAAATAATCACTGAATGAATGAACAGATGATATAATTTCTGTTACTTATCACCACTAAATGTGAATGAGAAAATAAAGGCATATTACAATGGGGAATTCAGGTCATGTACAGAATAAGTAGGTAGGGTCTCCAAAATAATAAAATTGTTATTAAATTTATGGAACCCTACACTTCTTTTATATTTACTGACAATATTTCAATCTGGGAGAACATATAGAGTACAAGGAAGCAATTACATTTAAAATAATTCTCTGGTATTCTTCCCAAATTTATTAATGTTAATGACACAAGAGGAGAAGCAGAGTCCCTGCCTCCAGAGAAATCACAATGCAAGCTAGGTGGCAGGTATGTGCATCCCTGAGGAAGCCCTAAGGGCCTGGATTAACTGAAGATGGAAGGAATAATTGACACTGTGTCCATCTCCATTACTGGCCAGAGATCAGGCTTGTTGCTAAGTACCTCTCCTCTCAGCTGCAGCCAGAGGACTGACTACAACAGGAGGTAGTGGACAGAGCAAGGATACCCAATGTCTCTTTCTGCAAAGCTCCTGTTGAAATTATTCAAACTCTAACAGCTGTGGAAATTCTGAAAAGATGCCCTCAGTGAATCAGAAATGATGAGGAATCCCAGCGATCGAAAGTAGATGGAATCTAACTGACAGAAAAACTAAGCAAAGAAAAAATCCAGCCCAGCAGGTGTGGCTCAGTGGTTGAGCATCGACCCATGCACCAAGAGGTCGCCAGTTCGATTCCTGGTCAGGGCACATGCCCAGGATGTGGGCCCAATCCCCTGTAGGGAGCATGCAGGAAGCGGTCAATTGATGTTCTCTCTCATCGATGTTTCTCTGTTTCTCTCTCTCTCTCTCTCTCTCTCTCTCTCTCTCTCTCTCTCTCTCTCCTTTTCCTGTCCTCTTTCTCTAAAATCAATAAAGAAAAAAAAATTTTTTTTTTTCAAGAAAAAACCCAGATGAAAATAGCAGGGTATGAGTGTGTTTTCTTTAGGGAACCCTGCAGATGCTCAAAGTTAATCAACAAGGAGGACAGAAGCTGGGTGCAGGCTGAATACACGAGTGTATCATTGGAAGGCTTTATTGTAAACAGCTGAGATGGGTGGTGTTCTCCTCTCTTCCATGCAAGGACAGCAAGCTTTTGCTCTCTGGTTAAACCCTGATAACCATTTTCCAGAGAGTTCATGATATGCCTAGTTAAGGCTTCTCCTAGAAACACTGGGGGCCCAAGAAGGACAGAGCCCTGACCTCTGTGACAGACCCAAGGAAGGGTTTGGAAAGATAGCTCACACCAGAGCACTTCACAGCACCACCCTCACCACCAGAGGAAAGGCCTTCTTACACTGGCAACTTACAGGACCCAAGGCTTTCTCCTGTCCTTTGCCCACACACCCTCCAGGGAAGTCTGCCCCAAGCACGCCTATCCACCCACACAGAGACCCCAGGCCCACATACCCATGCTGAGCACCCATGCCAGGGACTTGTGATTATCAAACTAGCCCTTCATTTGTTAATGTGACCTGACAAACAAGGATCATCACATCTGAGACAAATCAAAAACAAGAATGAGAAAGATGAGCACACAGAACTGACTCCAGAGGAAACAGAGGTGATTCAGGACACTGTTGAGAATTTTTAAATAATTCTAATAATTTTGAGATATTTTAAAGGATTCCAAAAAATAAAAATATACTGTTGTATAAACAAGAAACAGAAAATAGAAAAAATATTCTTCCATTAAAAAAAAATCTGAAAATAAAACATTATATAGGCCAAAGAAGACAGCTGTAAAGACCACAGGATACACATACTGTAAGCTGCTCCTTCTTTTCTTGAAATGTTTTGGTCTTGAAAGTCTTCATCCTCTTGATTTTTTCAGTGGTATCTGAGATGCTCTGGCTGCAGTCACTCACTGGAATGACAAAGAGTTGAGGACCAAGATGCCCCCCCCCACACCAGGTAAAGAGCTAGAGTCTAGCCTTGGCTGGTTTTGCTCAGTGGTTAGAGTGTTGGCCTATGAACCAGGGAGTCCTGGGTTCGATTCCGACCGAGGACGCGTATCTCGGTTGCAGTTTGTTTCCAGTCCAGGTTGGGGTCTTGCAGGTGGCAACCAATCGATGTCTCTCTCACATCAATGTTTCTCTCTCTTTCTCTCTCTTCCTCCCACTTTGTCTGAAGATAAATGTAAAAGTGTCCTTGGGTGAGGATAATAAAAAGAGCTAGAGTCCAGTGCCATGCCCCTCAAGAGGTCAAAAGGATAAAATGGGTTTTGTAGAAAATTCTGTTTGATTAAAGCTGCCAGGAAGGACTCCTGTAGCCACTCTTCTCAGTCCAGGACCAGAGGATGGGAGGGAAGGAGGGGAATAGAAGTGACTACAGTTTGTAGGCCCCAAAGAGCACCCCACCCTCAATGTATCTCCCCGAGCCTGCAAAATACTTCACAAGTCGCACCTCTGCCTTTAGGGAAGCCAGAGGAATAAAATGGCTGGCACATGAAAGTAAGACATGTGGTTGGGCTGGCAAATTTTGCCATCCTTGCAAAGTCAGTGTATTCCTGTTTAATGGCTTTAAAATCAATGGAAGGGCACAACTCACCCAAGCTGGACCTGCTGCCGAATAGGCCATTACCACCCTCGGTGACACTGCTCAGAAAGTGGTCGCTGAAATTCACCGTCTTACTGAGGTCAAGGTTCTGGTCAATAAGAAAATTCAAGCACCATGAATGATGAGGCTGCTGTGTCCTAACAAACTCCCTGCCAACCTGCTCTTCTTTCTGCTCATGACAACTCTGTCCACACAGACAGTCAAGACTGAAACCTGGACATCTTTCCTACAGCTCCCTCACCCACCAGGATGTTTTGTTTATTCAGCCTCTTAAACAGCCCCTCAGTTTGGCCCCTCCTCTTGGTCACTAGAGCCTCAACCTCCCTCCTCACACAGGATCATTACAACAGCCTCCCCACAGGTTCTGGCCAGCCCACCTACCATGTGGCTGCCCCAGTCACCTTTTGTATAAGTAACTGTGTCCTACCTGCTTAAAACCCTTCTGTGCCTTCAAATTAGGGTGGTATAATGGGGAGGCTCAGGCTGTCAAGTTTAAATCCTGGTTCTGTCACTTACTAGAATAGAGACATTGGAAGAAGCAAGATGCTTAACTTCTCTGAGCCTCTCAGTTCCCTCACCTATAAAGTGGAAATATTATGACCTACTCAAAGGGATGTTATGAAAGTAAACTGAGATGAAACAGATGTTTATAAAATGAGGATAGATAATACACAGGCCAGACCTGAAATCCTGTCTCCACTTGGACTGATGCCAGACCTGCCATACCCTCATATGACTGCCAGCTCCTGCCATAGAAAACCACCTGCTACTTCTGAACACTAGAACATGCAGGCTAAGAAAAAAATCAGTGAACTCGGGGATATTTACTCCCCTTCTACTCGATAGATTGCATATTGTAGATGCTATTGGTGCCCATGCAGTTCTCCTTAACTGCTCAGCTGCTGTGTTGGCTGCTAATAGCTCACAGCTGACCCCCTTCTCCAGCCACCACCCTCAGTAGTTGCGTGTTGCCTGGCCCTAGAGGTTATGCCCCTCCCCTCCCTGCCTCAATCAGGGACAACAGATTGTGTGGTGTCATTCACAATCCAGAGCTCCTCATGTATCCGGCTAAAGCTATATATTACTTGTAACCACTTGCTCATTTAGCCCCTTCCCCTGCCTTGTCCCATGTCCTTCACTTCTTTTATCTTGAAGTACCTCCTGACCCAAGCTCTGCTCCAGCCACACAACTGGCATGACATTTCATGCTTTCCTTGGTTTCAAAGCACTTTCATGTGTATTATCCCCTTGGATACACCTAGTCTCCCTTTGAGGTAGGCAGGGTTCATGAATCTATATTAATTTTAAAGACACTGTTAACACCCTGCTGGGCACATGGCCAGGACCTAATAAATGGTAGGTCCTCTCCTTTTCCTTACCTTCTTTATCCATCTTCTCAATCCATTGATTATTATTTTGTATATTTTGACTTCTTGTCCAATGACACTAAAGCTGTCAATATCAATGTTTGTTTGTTACACACTTACAGACTCTGTGCCAATGCCCCAGTCACCATACAAGAGGGTAGGACAAGGGGGACATGCCACAGGATTCGGTTTATTTTTTATAGGCAAATAGGTCACAGTACATATCAGCAAAAACTTTTGTCAGTCTTTTCCCAGAGCAGTTGTATCACAGACCTGCCATCAGATGTCAGTGAGCAGAAATAAGCCTGAGAACCACAGGGCCAATTGGGTGGATGACAATTCCTATTCTCACTGTATCACCATGTGCCTGAACGCTAGCTTCTCTCAGGCTTAGCTCAGGTATGTATCTAATTCTGTAAAACTGTTGGCCTACAGTCAAGTTTCATAATATTTGAAACTTTTCCTTTCTGTGGATTATACAGAAACATTGCAATAAATCATAAACCACAATTTACTAATTCAGTCGATTCCCCAATAAATAACTTCTAAAGGTTTCACTCACCTTATTTGAGACTTGAATATAATTCATCCTGATGCTAACTTCATAGCCATCTTCATGGACAGTAGCAGAAATAAGCTTTTAAAAAAGTAGTAGAGAGGATTCACAGCTGTGGGTATGGAACTCAGTGCCATACAAAGAAAGTCTGAGATGTTACACTGTAAATTTTTGTTGCTGCTGTTAATCCTCACCCAAGGATATTTTTTCATTGATTCTCAGAGAGAGTGGAAAGGAGGGAAGGAGGGAGGGAAGGAGGGAGAGCAGGAGAGAGAGAGAGAGAAACATCAATGTGAGAGGGAGAGAGACATTGATTGGTCGCCTCCCGCACGACCCTGACTGGGGCCAGGGATTGAACCTAGAACCCAGGTATGTGCCCTTGACTGGGAATTGAATCCCAAACCCTTCAGTCCTTGGGCTGACACTCTAACCACTGAGCCAAACAAGCCAGGGCTTAAACTGTAAATTTAATCAAACATTTAATTAACACAAAAGAAGGCAAAAAAGAGAAACAGAAGAGCAAAAACTAGATAAAATAGAATACAAATAAAAAAGGTAGACACAAATCTAGCCATATTTATAATTTCATTAATTATAAATGAACTAAATAAATACTCTAATCAAAGAGCACAGACTGCCAGAATGGATAAGAAAGCAAGATCCAAATTTATACTCTCTATAAGAGACATCCTTTAAGTTTAATCAAGCCATATGGCTGGATGCTATCACCTTGGAAAAGGTGCAGGCCATGTATCACCATTGAGCAGCTTTCTCTGTGAGTAGTGGGAGGGATTTAGATCAAACTAGGGATCAGCAAATGCTTTAAGAATCACAAAAGAAGCCCTGGCCGGTTTGGCTCAGCGTTAGAGCGTCCGCCTGCGGTCCGGAGAGACCCGGGTTCGGTTCCCGCTAAGGGCATGTACCTCGGTTGCAGTTTGTCCCCGGCCCTGGTTGGTCGTGCGGGTGGCAGCCACTCGATGTGTCCCTTTCACATCGATGTTTCCCTCTCTCTCTCTTCCTCTCTCTCCCTCCCACTCTATCTGTACAAAAAATGGAAAAATGTCCTCGGGTGAGGATAAAGAAAAAAAAAAAAAAAGAATCACAAAAGAAATATTTTAGGTTTTGTGGACTGTAGAGTCTCTGTCATGAATACTCAACATTGCCATTGTAATACAAAAGCAGCTAAAGAAAATTAATTAATTAATAGTATAGCTATGATCTCATAAAACATTATTTATAAAACTGGATGGCAGGCTAGAATTGTCCCACAGGCAATAGTTTGCAGACCACAGGATTAGGCCAAAAAATTATAAACCATCAAAATAGATTATCAAAGGAAATCGAGCAATTCTTGACAATGAAATAGTTTCAATGTTGGCCTGTTTAGTGGCAAGAGGAGTAGATAAGCTGACTTTCAAAGTTTCCCTCTAGTCTTGTGACAGAGGAACACGTCTTATTACAAAGAGTCTCTTTACAATGGCAGAGAAAGGGCATGGTGTTTGGGATATGACAACCTACTTCAAATCCTGAATTCCTTGAGACCTAGCAGTCCCAAGAAAGTCACCAAACCTCTCTAAACCAGTTTTCCTGGGTGTCAGGTACAGTTTGCTCTGATTATCTACTGTAGTATAAAAAAATCCCAAATTCAGTGGCATCAAAAAGAAAACAAAAACAAAAAACAACCCATTTTTATCATGTTCATGAAATCATCAGGGCCCAGCAGCAGTGACTTGTCTTTATTTCATATGTGTAAGGCCTCAGATACAAAGGCTCAAACAGCTAGAGGTGACTTCATGTTTGGGAACTGAAATGACCTAGTCTTGTCACTCATTGCCTGGCTCCTGAGTTGTGAAGACTCAAGGACTGAATTCATCTGGAGCTGCAGACTGATGCACCTAATGTGGCCACTCCCTGAGGATTGGGCTTCTCACAGCAGGATGGCTGGGCTCCAAGAAAGAGTTTTGAGGTGAGCATGCCAAGCAAAAGGATGCCACGAGCCTACATGACCACACTATGGGGCTCCCATAGCATCATTTCTGACATACTCTTGTCCAATAGCTACAAGCCCACCCAGATTCAAGGTGAAGGGATATAGACTCCATTTTTTGAAGGGAAGACTGTTGAGGAATCTGTGGCCATGTTTTAAAAACTGCCACAATGGTGATACTTTGCAGGTTTGTTTTGAGAACTAGAGATGATAAACATGATACAGATGTTGAGTGAATTGTTAAATGGTTAAATCTTATAATTACTGTTGTTAATATAGTGTAGGATTTAAGTACACAATTTGGCTGGATTAACCTATTCTGGGCCATTTAGCTCTGACCATCAGGATTTCCATAGCATGTGGCATCTAAAAGCATGGGATGCTCACTTTTACTGTCTTAGGTCAGGTGCCCAGAAGCAGACCCTAAGACAAGACTCATGTGCAAGTGACTTTAAAAGCAGTGCCTGCAGGAGAGAAGAGTAAGCAAGTGTAGAAAGCAGGGCAGGAAAGGAAAAGGAGCCAAGGAAAGTGCAATTTCAAGTGAAGTCGGTGGAGGGTAACTTCAGCCTGATCCCATGGGATACTGTGAAGCGGAAGTACCATTCAGAGTTCACTCACCTTTCCCATCCTGGGTTCGGCAATCAAAGCCCGGAATTCGGGGTTGTTCTGAGCATAAGATCTGAGGTGAGCAGAGATGTGATCCAACTGTTTTCTCCAGTATCCTAAAGAAGAAGAGAAACCCATCCATATGGATTCTTCTGAGTCTAAGACAGAAAATGTTGATGTGGATCATGTATTGTCAGAGAGGTGGTTTTCCTTTGCCAAACTTTGTCATGGTTTTTACTTACTTGAACGTCAGCTACATACTAGAGTAAGTTCCATTTTTGTTCCCAGCTTCTTTTTACACATGATTAATCATAGAATATTCTAGAATCTCAAAAGAGCATATTTTGATTGCTGTATATAAGGTCTTTTTCTTTCACTTTTTAAAAATTATTTTTAAATCTACCATATTGTGATATAACATTAGTAAAATGCACCTATTTAAATGTACAATTTGAGCCCTGGCCAGGTGGGTCAATTGGTTGGAGCTTCATCCTGTACACCAAAGTGTTATGGGTTCAATTTCCTGTCAGGGCATATATCTAGGCTGCAGGATTAATCCCCAGTCAGGGTGCGTATGGGGTGCAACCAATCAATATTTCTCTTTTTCATCGATGTTTCTCTCTCTCAAATCAATAAAAATCATATCCTTGGGTGATGACTAATATATATAAAATGTACAATTTGAGCTTTGGCAAGTATATACATCCTCATCAATATGTAGAACATTTCCATCACTCCTAGAAGTTCCCTTGTGTCCCTTTCCAGTCTGCACAGGGTTTAAAACACACTTGAATTAGTTGCCACCATTTAAATCCTGGGAGATTTTACATGAGTCTAGCTTTCTGGTTTCTCATGTGCAGGTGGGAGATGCAATAGTGCTGGGCCTGCCTTCCCACACAGGCTTGGCTGCTGGGGCCAATGGGCAGCTGCCCTCTTTGGACAGGGCACAGCCTCCAGCTGGCCACAGTTCCTACAGGCCCAGTGGCCTGCCTTTACTTCCCAGTTCTGTCCGGTTGGCACTTGAGTCTGCAACCATGCAATAGATCCCACCTCATCATTTTATAATGAGGAAACTAAAGTCAAGAGCAATTAGGTGGCTTGTTCAAGGTAACCCAATGTGGTTTTGTGGAAAGAGCACATGATTTGGAGTTCAGAAAAGCCTACATTTAAATCCTAAATTTACCATTTGTTAGCTTAGTGAACTTAAGCCAGACACTTACATCTTATTAAGCCTTACTTTCCTTACCTATAAGATGGGACTAAAGAGAAAGTCAAACAAAGACCTGCCAAAAATCACTGTCACCCTAAAATGACAGAGTGTATGGTCAAGGCTTCAATTTCCAAGTAGCAACATCAGAGGCTTCCCAGTAGGACAGTTACAGAGTTCATTAAAACAATCCAGTTAGTCACTAAACAGACAAGTAAATAACAATACAAGTCTGGAGAGCAGGTCAGTACCCAGAGTTGCTACAATATATTTAAAATGTCCAGTGCCCAAAAAATGATTACAAGACATGCAACATCATAGGAAACTCTGATTCGTTCACAAAAGAAAAAGCGGGCCACAGAAACTGACAGCAAGAATGATCAGATGCTGGAGATTTAATGAAAACTTCAAAGTATTAAATGTTCAAAGAACAAAGGGAAACTATGCATGAAGAAGTAAAACAAGCTATAATTATAATTCTTCATAAACACTTCCAAAAAAATAGAAGAGGAGAAAAGGCTATGGACTAATATTATCCTGATACCAAAACCTGTCAAAGACATCACAAGGAAAGAAAACTGAAGACTAATTAATATCTCTTATGAATACAGACACAAAAATCTTCAACAAAATATTAGCAAACAAAACCCAAAAATCTATATAAAAAGAACTATATACAACGACCAAGTGGTATTTATCCAAGGAATGAAACACTGGTTTTACATCTAAAAATTAATTAATGAAAAACACCATCAATGAAATAAAAAGCCAAAACCACATGATCATCTAAATAGACTCAGAGAAAGCATTTGACAAAACCCAATACCCATTCATGATTTAAAAAGAAAACACTAAAAAACAGAAAAAGGAAGGAATTTCCTCCATTTAAGAACGAGCAACTATGAAAAACCCACAGCTAATATCATACTTAATGGTTAATGACTGAATACTTTACCCCAAAATCATGAACAAGACAAGGATTCCTGCTCTTACCACTTCTATTTCACATTGCACTGGAGGTTCTAATCAGGGCAATCAGGTAAGAAAATGAAATAAAAGTCTTCCAGATAGTAAAGTAAGAAGTAAAACCATATTTACAGATGACATAATTTGTATATAGAAGATGCTAGGAAATCTATTAAAGGATTATTACAACTAATTAAAAAGTTCAGCAAAGTTGTAAAATATAATATATACAAAAATACACTTGCAATGAATAATTCAAAAATAAAATTGGAAACATGTTTCTATTGACAATAACATAAAAAACAATAACATACTTAGGAATCTAATATTCATGGATCAAAAGACTTAATACAGGTGACTCTTGAAGAACATGGGGATAGGAGAGCTGATCCTCATGCAGTCAAAAAACACTTGTATAACTTAAGCTGGCCTTTCACATATGCAGCTTCCCAACCATAGACGGAAGATACTATTTTCAATCTATGGTTGGTTAAATCCATGCATGCAAAACTGGGGACATGGAGGGTATATTTGTTGCGGAAAAAAATTCACGTGGAAGTGACCTATACAGTTTAAACCTGTGTTGTTCAACAATCAATTGTATTGTTAAGATGGCAATACTCCCCAAAGTAATCTACAAATTCAGCCCAATCCCTTTCAGAATCTCAGCTGGCTTCTTTGTAGAAATTGACTAGCTAATCCTAAAATTCACATGGACACTCAAGGACCCAGAATAGCCAAATCAATCTTGAAAAAAAGGAATAAAGTTGGAGGACCCACACTTCTCGATTTCAAAACCTGCTACAAAGCAACAGTAATCAAAACACCATGGCTCTGGCATAAGGACAGACATACTGATCAGTGCAATAAAATTAAAGTCCAGAAATAAATCCATATATCTACAGTCAACTGATTTTTTACAAGGGTACTGAGACCATTCGACGGGAAATAATAATTTCTTCAATAAATGGTACTGGGACAACTGAATAATTGCATGCAAAACAATGTAGTTGTACATCATATACAAAAATTAACTCAAAATGGACCTAACCTAAATGTAAAACTATAAAAATCTTAGAAGAAAAGATAGAAGTGAGTATCTGTGACCAGGATTTGGCCATGGAGCCTTAGATATGACACCAAAAACACAAGCAACAAAAGAAAAAATAGATAAAAGTTTGACTGAACATTTAAAAATTTGTGCTTCATAGGACACCATCAAAAGTTAAAAAGTTAAAAGCCAACCTATAGAATGGTAGAAATACTTGCAAATTTTATATCTTATAAGTCTAGTATCCAGAACATATAAAGAACTCTCAAACATCTCAATTACAAAAGACAAACAACCAAATTTAAAAATGGACAAAGGATCTGAGTATTTTCTCCAGAGAAAATATACAATTGGGCCCGGCCAGTGTGGCTCCGTGGTTAAGTGTTGACCCAGGTACCAGGAGGTCGCTGGTTTGATTCCTGGTTGGGGCACATGCCCAGGTTGTGAGTCCAATCCTAAGTAGGGGACAGGCAGGAGGGGGCCAATCAATGTTCTCTCTCATCGATGTTTCTATCTCTCTCTCCCTCTCCCTTCCTCTCTGTCTAAAATCAATAAAGAAAGCAAAATTTTACAGTTTGGCTCAGCAGTTAGAGTATTGGCCTGTGGTCCAGAGAGGCCCGGGTTCGGTTCCCACTAAGGGCGCGTACCTCAGTTGCAGTTTGTCCCCGGCCCTGGTTGGTGGTGTGAGTGGCAACCACTTGATGTGTCCCTTTCACATCGATGTTTCTTTCTCTCTCTCTCTCTTCCTCTCTCTCCCTCCCACTCTATCTGAACAAAAAATGGAAAAATGTCCTCAGGTGAGGATAAAGAAAAAAAAAATTTTTTAAAAAAAAGCAAAAATTTTCAAAAGAGAAAATATACAAATGGCCAAGAAGCACATGAAAGACACTCAGTATCATTAGTCATCAGGGAAATACTAATTAAAACCACTTCACACCTACTAGGATGGTGACAGTGAAAAGATATAAGTGTTGGTAAAGTTGGCAAACCTCTTAACAGTGCTGGTAAGAATGTAAAATACTGCAGCCACTTTGGAAAATAGTCTGGAAGTGCCTCAAAATGTTAAACATAATGTTATCATTTGACCCAGCAATTGTGCTTCTATGTATATACCTAAGAGAAATGAGAATATGTCCACAGAAAAATTTATACGTAAATGTTCACAGCAGTATTATTCATAATAACCAAAAGGTGAACAAAGCTCAAATGTCTATTAGCTGTTAAATGAAGCTACAAAGTATCATAAATCCTTATAATAAATATTATTCAGCTATAAAAAAGAATGAAAACCTAAAGCATGCTAAAATACAAATGAACCTTGAAAAAATTATACTAGATGAAAGAAGCCAGTAACAAAAGACCATATATTATGCTTCCATTTATACAAAATGTCCAGAACAGGTAAATCCATAAACACAGAAAGTAGACCCATAGTTGCCAAGCACCTGGGAGAGGAGATGTGGGGAGTGACTGCCTAAAGAGAACAGGGTTTACTCTGGCATGGTGAAAATGTTCTGGGTATAAAGAGTGCTGATGAATGTATAGTATTGCTAATGTACTAAAGGTTGCTAAATTGTACACTTTAAAATGGTTAAAATGGTGAATTGTTATGTGAATTTTACCAGAATAAAATAAAGAGACAGCCCTGGCCAATTTGGCTCAGCAGTTAGAGCGTTGGTCCGCGGACCAAAGAGACCCAGGTTTGGTACACTAAGAGCACATGCCTTGGTTGCAGTTTGTCTCTGTCCCCAGTTGGGGTTGTGTGGGTGGCAAAGAGTTGATGTGTCTCTCTCACATCAATGTTTATTACTCTCTCTTTCTCCCTTCCTCCATCCCTACCACTCTACCTGAAGATAAATGCAAAAATGTCCTCGGGTGAGGATAAAAAATAAAAAAAAGAGAGAAATAGCAAGCAGCAATAAAAACAGATTAACATTTCTGCCATAATAGTAGAAATCCATGCATGCTATTTAATTTACAATCTAGTCTAGGGGGCTGTAAATCAAAACATCACAGTACTAAAAGTTAAAGGAAGAGCTAGTATTCATTCAAATGAATATTACGAGAAAAAAAATAAAGGAACTTATTTCTTATATAAAAATAAATCTAAAAGAAGAAAAATTGAAATGTTCTTTCAAAGAAAGAGTGAGTTCCCTCCTAACAAGAAAGCATATCTTTCTTCTCACCTCTTCCTGGACTGATGGCTGTGAGGACAGGTTTGTGGTCACTCATTTTCTCCTGCCTCTGCTTATGAGAAGCCATTTCTAGTTCCCTTTTTGCTAGTAGGTTGCCAGATGGGTAGAACAGGCCAGCAGTCTGTGTACCTACATCCTTTTTAGTCTCAAAATCAGGTTTGGGTAAAGGGACATTTAGGGACTTCCAGGCAGATCGGGGCTACAAGAAAGGCAGAAACATAAAATATTAGAATAAAATTTAATTAATCCTTCATATTATTCATAGAAAACAAGTATAGTCTCAAAGTAAAAGTATCTTAAAAAAATAACCTGTATTTTGAACTACAAATGGGTTTCTAGCCCTTGCCTCATCTTCCTTGCTTCTGCCTTTCCCAGCAACTCCCAGCTCCATCTCCTTCGCCATTTACTATGTCAAATTCAGCAAATCAAATGATGTTCCCTGTCCTGCCTAAGGCCTAGAAGATATCTATCCTCTCAGCCCCCGACAATCCAGTAAGACATAGCCTTTACTATCCATGAACACCCAGCTACTGGGTACCAACATTTTCTGAAAAACATTCCCCTGCCTCTGGACCTGAGGACCTAAGAGAACCACCATGTAAAGTTATGTAGGTTGTGCACTGCATCTAAAGGGGTACTATTCACATAGTGGACATAATATATTTGCATACTTATTAGGACAATTTTTCTGGTGGATAGAAAATGTCTTTCTAACAAAATTAGTACATTATAGTCAGTTTCCAACAGATGGTATTCAAGTGTCTTGAGGAAAGAACACATTTGCACCAAGGTGCCATGTAGACTACTGGCAGTCTCAGGATGTATGACCTGATTTGGATTAAGAAGATTATGAATTTTCTAAAAATGAACACAAAGTTACTGAGTGCATGTGCATTCTCTGCAATAATTATCAATTCTTCTAATGAAGAGATAAAAAAAGACCTGAAGTATTTATGTAGCTTAGAGAAATTCATAAAAGGCTAATACAAAGCTGGTGTTTAAGTCCTTCTAAAAATAACCTTGTGAGATTTTCCTCAAACTATATCCAGTTGTTATAAATGGAAAAAGCAATTTTATGTACCTGATCTAATTTTTCTCAAATATACAAGAGCCTTGGGGAAAGTTCTTGGTGTGCTACATAAGAAATTCAAGAGAAGTACTTTCTATCTCATGTATTTTAAATCCACTTCTAAGTGAATTGTATCTATCTATTGCTTTGCAAATGCAATTAGGCTTCAACCTATTACAGATAAGTGCATACATATTTGATTTCTGAAAAAAATCACTTGAGTGTTTAAAACCCAAATTAATTCCACACCTAGTTGAAAAATTATGTGAAAGGTATAAATGTTTTGGTTCCCTTTCTCTGGGTTGATTCAAAAAGTAGAGTACACAACTTCAGTTACAATCTCTTCCCAGGCAGCAGTTCTTACCACAATGGAGGCCTCACCTCAGCAACAGAGCCAGGTTCTCCAGCAGCTACAGCCAGGCTGTTGTCCACACTAAGTTTTGCCAAAGACTTCAGGTAAATACCACAGGAGCCACAGAATCGGGCAGATGGGGGATTGCTGGCCCCACATTTAGGGCAAACAGAGTAGCAGGTAGAAATGCCAGGCTAGAGGACAGAAATATTTTTATATTTTCATGAACATAAGAGTCATAATTTTTCCATATAAATTATTCCCATACCAGTCTTCAATATAGTACATGCCCATACTCTCCAACCCTGCAATTCTACCTTCTAGAATAAATATGTACTTTACCCTACAGATGGACAAGTACACAAAGAAGTGTATTCAAAACCATTCCATAAAGAATTGTGACTTTAGCCCTGGCTGGTTTGGCTCAGCGGTTAGAGCACTGGCCTGCGGTCTGGAGAGACCCGGGTTCAGTTCCCGCTAAGGGCATGTACTTCGGTTGCAGTTTGTCCCCGGCCCTGGTCGGTCGTGTGGGTGGCAGCCACTCGATGTGTCCCTTTCACGTCGATGTTTCTCTCTCTCTCTCTCTCCCTCCCACTCTATCTGTACAAAAATTGCAAAAATGTCCTCGGGTGAGGATAAAAAACAAAAACAAAAACAAAAAAAAAAAAGAATTGTGACTTTAGAGAAAATAACTAGAAACAACCTAAATATCCAGCAAGAGGAAATATGGCCTAAATATATATATATATATATATATATATATATATATATATATATATCATGGTACATACAGAGAGTGGAATATTATGAAGCCACTGAAAAAAAAAGAAAATATATTATATATTACTAGGTGCAAAGAATTAGATCAATTTCATATTAAACTACCAGCTTACTTATTAATGCATTGAATGGCTGAGAGAACAGCTTAAAAACTGGGTAACAATGACTGCTTCTAGGGAGAGGAGCTGTGGGACTGGGATAAGAAGAAAGACTAACCTTTCACACTAAATCTTTTGTATTATTTACATGAAACAGAAATAATTTTTAGTGTTTTATTAAGAAGGTAATTAGACAATTAATTCATTTAAAAAAATATCAACAGTCAACAAATAAGTGAAAAAGTTTAACCTCAAAGAAATGCAAATTATGCCCTGGCCGGTTTGGCTCAGCGGTTGGAGCATCGGCCTGCTGATCAGAGAGTCCCAGGTTTGGTTTCCACTAAGGGCATGTACCAAAAAGAAAAAAAAGAAAAAAGAAATGCAAATTAAAATAGCAATGAAAAGACCAGTCTTAATTTAAGGGAATTGATCTCTGTCTCCAGATTCTTAGGAAAATAAGTGGCAGGACCCAAATACCAAGACGTGATATCTGCAAGGCTGTGAAAGATGGGAGCCTGGCTATTTCTAGGGGTGGTGGTGAGGTGCTCTGCTCAAAGAAGCTCAGTTTTAAAATACCCACCGTGGCTCCACACCAATCACAGAAGCAAGCACCCCGGCGATTCCGGCGACCACATTTGGGACAGGAAATGATCTCCCCTTTCAGAGTGGGCGCAGGAGGGGCTTTATCTCCACTGTACATGGACTGGTGAACACAATGGCATTGACAGGCAGATCAATATTATATTCTCGAGTCTCCCTCCCAGTGCAAAAAAGAAAAAAGTCCCAAACAACACAAGACCTAGAAATAAGGTATTTCTGCCCCAAAGAGGAAAACTATCATAAGCTTCTTCAACTAATACATTTGTACATCCCTGGCCAGTTTGGCTCAGGAATTAGAGCGTCAGTCTGGGGACCGGAGTCTTGGGTTCGATTCCTGGTCAAGGGAACATATTGTATCACAGGTTTGATCCCTGGCCCTGCTAGGGGTTGTGAAGGAGGTGACCAATTGATGTGTCTCTCTCACATCGGTGTTTCTCTCTCTCTCTCTCTCTCTCTCTCTCTCTCTCCTTCCACCCTTCCACTCTAAAGGATCAATGGAAAGATATCCTCAGATGAGAATTAACAATAATAATAATGAATAAATAAATAAGTACAAAGAGCATGCATTCCTTCACAGAAAGTCAATGAAATTGGTGCATCACACAACTTAATAGTCTTCAGTATCTTTAATACCAAAGGTAGCAAGCCTACTATTGATTTACTCTACCAATATTAACAAAGAAAGAGTGTAAGAGAGCTTAGCTACCCAAGGTATCAACATTGAGGTTTATCTTCTGGGGTTCTGGTTTCCATCTGGAAATGTGAATTTATTTTCTACTCCTGACACATGAAAAGCATTACTTTTGGGGGAGGGAGATAGGTTTGGTGAGAATTTTTGACTTTGTTAGGCAGACCTGTATTAGAATCTTTGCTTCTCCTACTGACTGGTATTGCCTAGTAAAAGATTTTCTCATTAAAAAAATAGGGATGATATTATTCATCATTGCTACATGATTACCTACTATGTGCAGGCACTGTTCTGAGCAATGCCCCTATACCCTTATATCAATTTGCACAACAGACCTGTGAGGTGGGTGCCATAATCTTCTTTGTTTTATAGAGAGGGAAACTGAGGAACAGACTGAGTAAGACCCAAGATCTGAATCCAGGCCATGACTAAATATGTGTATGGTCACATATTCCACGTATACTACTAAATATGTGCACACTAGGGAAAATGTTTTCTAAGGACAATTTTTCCTCAAACATCAACATTTTAGTTTACGTTATTAGCCCAGCTCTATCCTGTTTTACTTCAGGGACTGTTCTGTTATCCTAAAACAGACAGAGGCCACATCAACCTCTAACATCTACAGAGACCGAGAAAGAAGATCTGTCTTTGTGTACACTTACCCTCAGCCCATTTCAGTGAAGTAGAGGGAGATGCCTAGGGATAAATCAAGAGAGAAACCCTTTGCTTCAGACTTAACTTTATCCTATTGTTAAAATGGGGTTTTGATAAAACTTGCTGACATGGGTTTCTAAATATAAAGCCTTCAGATCTTTCACTTAAATGTATCTAATACTCAAGTGAATTTTTTTTAATCCTTACCCGAGGATATTTTACCACTAATCTTCAGATAGAGTAGCAGGAAGGGAGGGAAAGAGAGAGAAACACCAATGTGAGAGAGAAATATCGGCTGCCTCCTGATGCATGCCCCCTGGGAATATGCCCTAACCACGAATCAAATTGGTGACCCATTTGGTGCATAGGACCATGCTCAACCAACTGAGCTACATCGGCCAGGGCAAGTAAATTTTTAAAAATATAACATTACTTAAAATAAAAAGTAATCTTAATCCATTCAAATTAATGCTGCTAAACAAAGAAAAGATATAAAGCTATCAGATTGAACATATACCATTACTTTAGTGACACTTCTAAACTCATTGTAACATCTAAACTCTGATATACCATTCAGATAGAAATAAAAATTTGAAAACAAATTCTATTTTGTAATTGTTCCTGAAACAATTTTGTTTACAGGTGAGACCCAAGAACAACTACATTGCTGACAAGTCAATATATTTTACTATTTATGTAAAAAGTCCAAAATGCCTGAGAAAATAAATTTTTTGCTTGGCATTTTACTTAAATCTATTTGAAATATCATCTCAAGAATTCCAAAATACCTTTTTTATGTTTTTCTTTTTTATGCTTTTACAATCTCACTATTTTTCTCTTTGGTGCCTTGGAAATTTCATGATGGAAGAGTAACATAAAGTCTGAAGACGTTAAATTAGAGAGATAAACAAATAGTTAACAAAACACTACCCTAAAATTGCATCTGATTTGATTTGAGAATAGATGGGTTTTCTTACTAAATCTGCTGGCACATTAGCATGTTATTAGTACCAGTTCTGGGGGGGGAAAAAATCAAACATGTATTATGAAATCATCTTTGAAAAAAAAACTACAAATTTCCTTCTGGTTATGATAGAGTAAGACCATTCCCAATGACTCCACACAAAAAACAACTCTAAAATCTACTCATAATACATGTCTGTACTGGACAGTAAACAGAAGCAGATAGACTCTTGTAGCAAGTACACATAGGAGGAAGGGGGTTATACAAAGTTAGTTTCCTTTTAGCCTGGGCTAAAGCAGTTCACATAGTACATGTAAAAATGTGGGGAAAGTATTTCTGGCTAGGAGATTAAAAGACTCAAGAGAGGTAATATTTGGCTACTGAAGTGATAGGGAACTCCCAGAAAGAAAAACGACAGAGAAGAGATCCCCAAATTCTTTGGTACTCACATCTCTTACTGACCCATGAATAATACATTCACAGAACACTCAATGCAGGTCAGCTAAAGATGAGATATATGAACAGAGACAAAACTTTCTGTTCCTCTCTCTCTGCCCCACCCCTAAAACAGATTTCTTGGATTTTTAGTATCTTGAGGAATTTTAAATTGTGTTCTAGCATTATAAATGTAAAGTTGGTCACAGCAATCTTGAAAAAGAAGGACAAAGTAGGTGGAATCACAATACCAGATATTAGATTATACTACAAAGCTACTGTAATCAAAACAGCCTGGTACTGACACAAGAACAGGCATATAGACCAGTGGAACAGAACAGAGAACCCAGAAATGGACCCAAGACATTATGCTCAATTAATATTTGCAACATAGGCACCATATTAGGAGTTTAACACAGACCTTCTTGTTCAATCTTCACAACTATTGTATAAGGTATGTACTCTTATTACCCCCATCATTTTGACAAATCAAAAAGAGGCTGTGAGAGTTAAAGCAATTTGCCTAAAGGTCAGCAGGAAGTGTCTGTGGTATGACTGAAGGCACCTTGATTTTATAGTTACTAAAGCAGGGTTTCTTAACCATGACAACATTAAGATTTGGGGTTGGGTAATTCTTCATGGTACCTTGCAGAACGTTAACAGTGCCCTTGCCTCTACCCACTAGAAGTCAGTAGCATACCTCTTCTGCCTCATTGTAACAATTTTTTTGTGTTTTTTTTTTTGGTTATACGTTTTTGTTTTTTTTTATTAATTTATTTTTGTTATAAATGTTTCTCCTTTTTTTCCCCATTGACACCCTCCTCCCCATCCCCCGCGCCCCGTACCCGGTTTTGTTGTCTGTGTCCATCGGTTATGCATACATGCTTTTAAGTTCTGGTACCACAGCTATTTTATCCACTCATCTACTAATGGGCACTTGGACTGTTTCCAGATCTTGGCTATTGTAAATAATTCTGCTATGAACATAAGGTTGCATATATTCTTTCTGATTGATGTTTTGAGATTCTTAGGATATATTCCCAGAAATGGGATCACTGGGTCAAAAGGCAGTTCCATTTTCAGTTTTTTGACGTAACTCCAAACTGTTTTCCAAAGTGGCTATACCAATCGGTATTCTCACCAATAATGTACTAGGGCTCCCTTTTCTCCACAAACTCACCAGCACTTGTTGTTTGTGGATTTATTGATAGCAACCACTCTGACAAGTATGAGGTGATACCTCATTGTAATTTTAATTTGCAGCTCTCTGATAATTAGAGAGCTAGAACATTTTTCCATATGTCTACTGGCCATCTGTATGTCCTCTTTGGAGGAGTGATCAAAATAAATATCTTTAATTGTTTTGTTGTTCCTAATACACACCCAAGGGTATTTTTTTCCATTGATTTTTTTTTCGAGAGAGACACACACACATTGATGTAAAAGAGAAATATCGATTGGTTGCCTCTAGCATGTACCCTTACCTGGGCCAGGAATTGAGCCTGCAACACCAAGTACATGCCCTTGACCAAGGAGCAAACCCATGACCCCTCAGTGCATAGGCATGCCAGCCAGGGAAAACATCTTTAATTTTTTATTCTAATTAGTTATTACTGTATCACATTAGTTAAAATGCAAAAATCTTTCAATTGATTGATATTCTTTTACTTCCATCCTTTATATACATTATAAACAATATGAGAATTTTGTGATTTCTGCTTTAAACAATTACACTGTTCATAAAGAAATCAAGAGGGACCCCTTCAGCTTGGTCTGGTGGCTCGAGGGCAAAAGTGATACACAAAGCTGGAATTTTTGGAATGAATCCTCTGGGGAGGCTTCTGTTGAGGAGACAAATGGGTGAGAGCTAGGCTCTATGACTGCATTGTGGTAAGGCTGATCTGAGCTCCCTGTGAGCCCTACCTGGCAGTCCCAAGGACAGGTAGGGCTTGTACCCTCCTCCTGCAGGCTGCAAACACTACCACCAATAGGAGACTATTTGGTTCAGTCCTGTGAAGTCCTGAATAACACTGCTGGGTGAAGTTCTGTGGGGGACAGGAGAGCAGCTCAGAGTGGGATGTTCAAAGTGTGAGACCCCCCCAACTTTCCACAAGACAAGCATGGAGCCTCGTCCCCAAAAGAACTGAGCAACCCAGCTGCCTGCGGGACCTGCGGGGTGATGGGACACCAGAAAGGCCTGTGTGACCCAGATACCCACAAGATAGGTGTGGAGTCAGGTCTCCAAAGGGACTCTGCAAACCAGCTGCCCACAGTACAGGCAGGGAGTGCGGCTCCAACAGGGCCAGAGCTATACAGTGACAGGTGGCACAGCGACCAACTGGGGAACTCAGCTCCAGAG